TCAATTATAATTGTAGACCTGGGAACAATACCAAGGTCAAGTCACTGATAGATGACGATTTGGAGAAAACGAGCAGAAACCTCATTCGAGAAATACATAAGAGTAAAAGTAAGTTCCGATTAGAAGGCTTAAGCATACTTTTTCTGGACTTTACCTATTTGTTGCACTTAGGTTTGGCATCTTTAAACAAGAATAACTGGACGTAGGAACAGAATATCGTTTCTTCAGTGCTGTTAATAGATAGCCCTTTGTAGCCACTTTCGGGTGATATGACTCTATTTTTAGGAAACTATGACTTAACCGTGTCAAAGATCGTGTATACCTTGTTGCAACTGTTGTTCTCAGGTCTTCGATTGTGTTTCAGATCAGCAGAAGGACAGTTTGACGCCATCTTGGATTTCGGTGCAATGACCTCTCTCAAGAAAGCTGACCTCCAGGGTTACGCTAACGTGCTCAAAGACCTGGCCAAACCCGGATGTAAACACCTGGTGGAGAGTTTTGTCTACGACACCACCAAATTCCCAGGTCTGTTTTTTGTTTGTGTTTTAACAGGAGTTTAACGGCACTTGCAACACCATATTTTTACCACGAATTTTTTTTACATTTTAATCAAAATATTGACCAAAAACCAAAGGAGAGCTTTGTCTACGACATGAACAAGTTCCCAGGTCTGTTTGGCTTTGTGCTTTGTGTTTAAGTAAGAGTTTTACGGTACTTGCAACACAATTATTAAGCCAGGTGACTTTGCCAGTAGAGAGCTTTGTCTAAGACACCACCAAATTTCCAGGTCTGTTTTGCTTTGTGTTTTAGTAAGAGTTTTACGGCACTTGCAACGCCATTTTTTTATCACGAATTTTTTGCATTTTAATCAAAATATTGACCAAAATCAAGCCGTGCTGTGAACTGTTGTGAATACAACCATCTTGTGCTACGCGTGCACATAATTATTATGACCTTATGCAGTTGCGAGCGCCGTAAAACTCTTACTAAATTAAGAAAAGGAGAGTTTTGTCAACGACATTAACAAGTTCCCAGGTCTGTTTGTTGTTTGTGTTTTAGTAAGAGTTTTACGGCACTTGCAACACAATTATTAAGCCAGGTGACTTTTCTAGTGGAGAGCTTTGTCTACGACACGCCAAGTTCCCAGGTCTGTTTTCGATTGTGGTTTGCGTTATAGCAAAAGTTTTATGGAACTTGCAACAACCTTGCAACACTCTATTTTACCACGAATTTTTAACATTTTAATAAAAATATTGACCAAAATCAAGCCGTGCTGAAAATGTTGTGAATGCAACCATCTTGTGTTACGCGCACACATATTATGACTTTATGCAGTTGCGAGCGCCGTAAAACTCTTACTAAACTGAAACGGGAGAGTTTTGTCTACGACATTAACAAGTTCCCAGGTCTGTTTGTTGTTTGTGTTTTAGTAAGAATTTTACGGCACTTGCAACACAATAATTAAGCCAGTTGACTTTTCTAGTGGAGAGTTTTGTCTACGACACGGCCAAGTTCCCAGGCACTGTTTGTTGTTTGTGTTTTAGCAGGAGTTTTACAGCACTTCCAAAACATTATTTTTACAACGAACTTTTAACATAGTAATCAAAATATTGACCAAAATCAAGCCGTGCTGTGAGCTGTTGTGAATGCAACCATCTTGTGCCTCGTGTTCTCATATGCAGTTGCGAGCGCCGTCAAACTCTTACTAAACTAAAAAAGGGAGAGCTTTGCCTACGACATGAAAAAGTTCCCTGGTCTGTTTTGGTTTGTGCTTTGTGTTTTAGCAAAAGTTTTATGGAACTTACAACACAATTGGGCAAGGTGACTGTCCTAGGCATGTCATTGTTATTTGTTTTAGTAAGCGTTTTACAGAACTTGCTATACAATTAAGTCGTATAAGTGCCAAGAGTTAGAGGAGTTGCAAGAGAGTAACAAACACAAAAAGGAAGGGAGGAGAGATAAGGACGACAGATATTTGATAGGGTAGAAGGAGCA